GTATTCCAATTGCAAATACTAAAGATATATTTTTATTTAAATTCTATATACCCATATTATAAATATATTATATTTTTATTGTTTAACTAAATGATTTTCATCCATATTTAATTCTTATTTGGAAAATTAGGCTCATTTTATTAAAAATTCAAATTATTTCGATTTCAAGTTTAATTAAGCTTAGATTAGGTAAGTTGTTGACTTGAAAACAATGACCGATACCCCTGAGGTAGATTTTTCGGAACTTGTATGCTCTACAAGAATACGTGATACTAAAAATTTTCTCCTAAACAGTTCAAAATTTAGAGTATTTTTAATGAAAACATTTTTTATTACGTGTTTTTTATGTACATAACTTTCAATGCTCACCGACACCTTTTAAAATTAAATTGAAAAACCAGCTTTGCAGGGAATTTATTTATATGTACACATATGTACGTATATGTATAGGTTCATTTACAACCCATTAGATATTAGTTTTGTGTTCTTTTTTTTTTTTTTTGCTCACTTAGTAGCTAACTAGTATAGCGACTAATGAATAATTCGACTAGTGGTAATAAAAGGAATACAATATAATAATGAATATGCTACCAGAATAGTAAGTAAATATTTTTGAATGAAAAACCGAATATGAAAAAGTAATCTTAAAGTAATAATTGAATGCTTCTTATTTTACCAATTTCCCACGTTAATTAGTATAAGAAAAATTATAAAATTTCAGCTATTAAAATATAACAATTTTTTTAATTTGCTATTAAAGCAATCTTACTTGATGCCTTTTGAAATCATTTACTTCTTTCATTTTATTTCGTGGAAACCACGCAATAACTGGAATTAATATGTTAAGTTGTCAAAAACTCATCAAACCCAACAAAAGGTCACTCATACGCATCGTCAACCCCTATAATTTGAAATTCATGCAATCCCAAGGATGACCATAAATATGTATTTGGCTATTTTCATTCGAATTCAATCGCATTTAAACACAAAATGTCACTTACCTTTATTGCCAACGATTTAAGCCAACAAATGAAATTTCCTTGAAGCGTAAAAAGTGGGAGAACCACAAAGAGATGCTTTCGGTTGTTGCTCTTGTTGTCGTTATTACAACTTTTTGGTAACTTAATATGTGAATATATATATATATATATATATATATACGAGTACACACACACGCACTTGGAAACTTGTGTCGCAACTTTCACTTAAAATATGATTTTCACTAATAACTAACGCCACCGCCAGACAAACTAAGCCAACAAGTTAGGAATCCAAACTACCGAAATTACTTTAAGTGCGTCGATTTGGTGCGACGAGGAGGGTGAAAAGTTGATTTTATTATATGAACGTCGTAAAGAATAGTGTCTGGTTTTTTATTTTTTTCTTGGCTACAGTTGTTGTAGATTTCGTTGTTGTTGGTGCTGCTGCGTGAAATTTTGTTTTGACAAGTAATCGGATTAATCCATAAAGCAGGCAAGAACTCGACTCTGCTTTAGCCACATAATAAATATGTTGCTACTTTTACTTGAACTTAATCCTTAGCGCTGGCTAAACGCACACACACAAACAAATATACAAGCGCGCACTGACTTCGTGAAGCAACTTTTCATTAGTTGGCCGAACCAACTGCATAAAATGCGGTTTGGTAGCGTAGGAAACGCTTCAATTTAGTAAGTGATGGATTTGAGTAAAATCAAAAGGAATTACTGACAGCAGCGCTATAACTCAATTAAAACAATTTTTTTAATTTTTTGTTGTTGTTTTTAGTTTTCTTTAAAATTACTGTGCACAAAAAAATATTTTAAACTTTAAATTAACGTTTGTTGGAACATTTTATTAAAACTCTTTAAGTTTTATAAAAAATGTTATAAAAAAAGCGCACAACATAACAAAATTTCATTAGCAAACAATTGCCACTTTTTTATGAATTTTTATTTTTTTTTACCAAAAAAAAAATTTTTGCGACGAACAAAATTTTAAAATTTTTTTTAAAGCACTTCAAACTTGTATTTTTTTTTTCAAAAATAAATTACTTCATTAAATTTCATGCAATTTTATTATCGCGTATTGCCGCGTAGCGCCGCATAAATTCTCCCGTTTTGTTCGTGTACACTTCGTTTGAATACCCGTTGCAAACTGAGCGCCATCAGACTCGTTGGAGCAGTTTTGTAGTCCACCGGCTGGTCGCTGTGAGTGGCAAACTACCCAAAACACTGCGCGAAAATTTCCCAAAACAATTGCCGCACAGCTGATTTTTGTTTTGTCAACAAAATACCAAAATAAAAAATCCGTAGTTGTTGTAATTAAACGCATGCGCCTGCAAAAAGCAGTTTCTATTAAATTTTGGCGCCAATAGCATAATGAGTAGAAAACAAAAACAACATGCGTGAAATGCTCATTTAGCTAGCAGCTTTTTCTTTACTTTTTTCTTCAAAGTGTATTTGTTTGTATAGCTTTCTTTCGACACTCTGTTTTCTATGCTTGCCTTTATTCTATTTTTCTCGCTTTATTTTTGTTTTGTTTCTACTTTGTTAGGAGGCTTGTGGTTAACATGTCGAGCGCATATGCTTAATGCAACTTTTTAGATAAATATATGTATGTATGTATATGTATACATAAGTATGTACGTGAAAATTAATGTCAATTCAGTTAGCGCCTAAATTCATGCTACATATTTAATTCGAAGCAAGGTGTTTGTATACCAATATGTGTATTTACTAAGTCTGTGAATCCCGATACGCGATTTCAATGCCGGGATTACGTTATTTTATAATCATATTCTCGGTATTAAAATTCTTACTATAAAATTATTATTCACTGCGCGACTATATAATATATTATTCTATTAGGGTCTGGTAAAAATAAGATCAAGCGTCGAAATATCGATAAAACATTTGAAATTATCGAGTCCGACCAGCATGAGATCACTGTTTCGATTGCACAAAATTGCCTAAAATCATTTAAATATGGTTGATACTCCATGTATTGGTGCCACACGATTTAACGCAAAAAGATTCATGGACCGACTTTTCATCTGTGAATCACTGCTGAATCGCAACAAAATCGATCCATTACTAAAGCGTATGCTTACTGGTGGTGAATAGTGTTCACTTTCGCAACGCCAATCGAAAACGGTGGCCAAGCCATAATAGACAATGAGGCTGGTTTTGATATATGTTTGGTGGGATTGGCAGGAAGTCAACTACTACAAGGTGCTCCGCTACGGCCAAACTCTTCCAGTCGCAGTCGAAGAAAACAATCGCTCAGAAAAGATCAGCTTTGGCCAATTGGAGAGGAACACAAATTGATAGTGACTCGCCAAAAGCTCCAGGAAATAGGTTAGGAAATTCTTTTGTATCCAGTGCGGACTATAGGATTTAACACTTGGCTCGTGACAAATTCGCCTCCAGAGATGTTTGTGAAAGTCGACTGTCTCACTTTTTCCAGTACGGAACGAGTTTTTCTAAGGGAGTGGCGTTTGAAAATTGAAATACCTTCAAAATAGCAACAAGTAATCTGAACAAAATTAAAAAAATTAGACCTAAAATGTATCATTCTATCTATACTTTCTTTAATGCAAAATAATGCATTTCTTTAAAAATAATATATTTGTATCTGAAGTGTATGTAATCAACGCAAAATTGGATATCCCGAGACATAATTTATTACATTCTACATTTGTGTCTGTATCTCTTGGATTATTTTCACCGATTATCATTATAAACAACCAAGTGCTGTCGGAATTCGTAATAGTATCGTACCAGTTCGTGCCAATTTCAAAAATCAAATGAATGTAAATCATTCTCCACTTAGTAATTCCAGCCACAGCCTCTTCATATAGAAGTGGATACTTGCATATGGTAGATAAAGGTTATATGCCGTGTTCAGTACATAAGAAGACCTTAGGAAGCCTCTTCTCCCTTGACTAAGTACTCGCACGAACTTGGCAAACGAAGTAATTTGAACCTAATTTTAGTGTCCGAAGCGCGTTCAATGTTACAAGTATTCACGTCATCACTTATTATACCAGCTTATGTAAATTTATAATGGCAAATCTTCTAAAGATCCTTTCAAAGACCGCAAGACGAAAAGATATATACTTCTTCTTATGAAATCAAGAAAAAAAGGGGACTCTGCCTTTTTGATTTTACAACGATGATTATATCCTATGCTGTTAACTGGAAATTCATAGATTGAAGACTAGGTGACGGTGCAAAGACGCTTTTGAAGAGTTGACAGAGTCCTCGTAGAATACCTCGCGGTTCCTGTGCTATACGAAGTTTCGTTTCTAACTTTGATTATTTTGATCTCGTTGAACATCACCTAGATCGTACCTGCACAGTCCTTAATCAAAATTTTAGTCTGTTCCAGCTACGTACTTGTAGACCTGACTATTGTGGGAATGGTTTCTTACATTTGTGGTTCATTAGTACCGCCGTTGCTACGCAAATATCTTCTGGATCAAAAAAAGATATCATCATTTTTTTCATTTTTTATCACGAATTCCTATAAACGATTCCTAATCCTCTGTAGATGTTCAATTGCTGCTTCCTCCACAACTTGAATATGTTCTAAACGTCAGAGACCAGACATTCTTGTTCATCCTTAAGGGGCACACCTAGTAGACAGTCTAAAACAGGCGATTTTTTTCGAATCGGATTATTTGTTTCCGAATAATCATTCAAGCATTTGAAAAATGTAGTTTGGAGAAAAAAACGTTTAAAGATAAACTGAAAGAGCTGATTGAACTGAGCGGCTACACTTTAGAAGCCTGTAATTCAAAAGCTATTTGAGATATCGATTTAAAAATTTAGTATGTTATTTTTAAACTTGCAGACTATCTAAAAATAAAAAAAAATCGTTTATTTCAAAATATCACACAAGTTGTTGTGCCCCTTAAGTCAAATAGCCCTGGCTCAAAATCTTATGTGAGTCGCCGCACTTTTTATAAAAATTTTCGGTTGATATTTGTTATGATATTTTGGTGGATTAGCAATACATTATTTACAATTTTTTTGTACTTTATTTTGGATTATTTGTAATGTTTTAAAATAGTATTATAATGTTGTATGATGATTGAACTTTTTGAAACAAAACAAAAAAATAAAAGTAATACAAAATTTTTGGTTGACATACATATGTAGTACAAATTTATAAATGTATGATGTACATTAAATTTAAAGCTAATTTTAAAACGCTTTCTTTAACAAAAACTGAATGCATAAGCTCAAGTTATTGCAATGTTTAAAGACCTTAATATTTATTGTGCGATTGGGACATCAAAATACATTTTTATTAAAAGGTATAAAAATAATTTTATGCCAGTAAGAACTTTCTAAAGGTAATATTAATAATTGTAGACTTATATACAAGTATATATATTTAAATATATTATGCATATTACAAGTGGCCTGCGTATCGCTCGCCGTCTAGTTGATTTAATGCGTTACGCCACATGATTTTATTACTCGACTTATATAAACGTAGAACACTGAAAAAAATATTTTGATTATACGATATAACTTTTTTAAATTGCATGCAACAGAAGACGAAATAAATAAAAAATAAAAATAAATTCTTCTTTTCTCTTAAGAATGCCCAAATTTCTAAATATAATATTTCCAAAAAATTCGAAATCGAAAAGTGTAGCGGACATTTCGAAATTAACTACAATCTTATAATCAAAAATTAATCATCCATAATAAATAAGCTATTAAATTTCGCGTTATCATCCACCACCAACACAACGCCACTGTCAATTACATCAAACTCATTATTGGTTGGATTTCTAGTATGATTTTGTTCTAAAACTACATTTCTAATTACATCGGGCATTTCTTCGAAGCCCTCCTGCATATCAACGCCATTGCTTATGGCACTGCTCTCAATTGACGAGGCATTCTCTGTTTCTATTAGCTCCAGACTGTTGCTATCGCTGCATACCAACTCTGTTGCTAAATCAATAAATGTGCTATCGCCTGCATGCTCATCAGTTGTGTTTTTGTTATGCACCTCGTTTTCATGTTTTCGCAATAGTGCGGCTTTCTTGAACTGCTTATCACATATAACGCACTTATAGGGATTTTCACCAGAGTGTATACGCATATGCACAAGCATATTGTTTTTTTTGGTAAATGACAATTGGCAAATACTACACACATGCGGTGTAATGCCTTCGTGTATCATACGGTGCTCCTTGAGATGGCCCTGCTGTCGAAAGGAGAGCAAACAGTGTTCGCACTGATATGGCCGTGCATCCTCATGTATGCGTTCGTGGGTAATCAGCGCGGCCATTGTGCGAAAAGCCTTATCACAAGCTTCACATTTATGCGGCCGTTCTTGCGTATGTATGCGCATATGCATTTTGTGGGTGAAATGATGTTTGGACTCCTTGCCGCAATAGTGGCAGCAGTAAACCTTTTTTCCATTGGTGTTTTTAGCGTCAGCACCAACACCAGCACTAGCAATCTTTGTGACATTTTCACTTTTTTTTACAATTGAGGACTTTAGATGAGTTTTCATGTGATTTTTTAAGGTACTCCTTGAACTGAAACTGTAATCAAAACAAAATTAATGAATCAATGTTTGTTAAGGTATATGTTTAATTACCATTTCGAACACTGTTCGCACCGAAGGTCGCCATCCTCTGAATGTTTGGCCACGTGAACTTGCAGTACATCAGACCGGGGAAACGCCTTACCACAAATGTCGCACATATAAACAACTTTATCATGCATGCCACGTATGTGCCGTCTTAAATTCCAACGGCTCTGATATGTACGTCCACAGTGTGGACATTCTGGTTTCTGTTGTTCGCTTTCATGAAACAGTAAATGCTTTTCTAGGCTGGTACGTAGTGGAAACCATGTATTGCATTTCTTGCAGAGAAATCGTTTATCATAATGTGTTTTGGTGTGCTCACGATATTCTGCAGCTGTAGATAGTTGTAAGTCGCATGTGGAGCAGGTGTATACGCATGCCGATTTTCCATCACTCGAATTATTATGTGTTTCACCGTCAACACCTATCGTCGTTATGTCCCCCTCATTTTCTTGTGTTATAACCGACTCATTTTCAATGCACTCATTGCCAGCAAAATCACTACCTTCTTCTTTCATAAAATGCATTTGACAATCATCGATATTGATGGATTCGTCAACACCATCAGAGGATTCTTCATATACTATATCCGTTTGGTAACCTATACCCTGATCTTCTTCGTCTGAAGACAATATCTCTTCTACAAAGTCCTTATCTTGATTTTCGTCTGTATTCAATGTTTCGCATACTTGTTTGGTAGAAAATTCTTGGTCCGGTAACTCTGGCGTTGAATCATCATCAATTAATTCAATAATGTCATCTTCATCGTTAATTTCGTTAAATTCATTATTTAAAATTTCCAAACATTTGTCCGCCGGCATTTCCATATCACTAAATACATCTGTCTGCGTATCCAAATCCAGTTGAATTCGCTTTTCTGCAATTACCTCCTGTCCTTGATTAAACGGTTCGTTTTCTATCGACACCAAGCGCTTCTGCATATCGACGCCTCGCTTCTGCAAATCTAACCTGAGACGTTCTTCTTCTGATAATTCGGGCAAATTGTCATCATCTAATATTTCTACAATGCTCTGGTGCTCTTTAATTTCCATACATAGGCTTGTGGACGCAAATATCTCCTGTGTGTGATTTTCTTCGATAAGTACGCAATTCGATTCTTTAGTTGTAGTCGAAATATTTATGTTTATTTCTGAAATCAGACTTTTGTGTCTTATTAAATCAGCCGTTTGGGCAAATTGATTCACATCATTCGAAGTAAACTCATCTAGAATATCAATTGTACTATTGGTTTGTGTCTGCATCTCCTGCCGTAACCGCTTTTCGGTTTCTTCACTTTGTTTTCGCAACTGGTAAGAAAAACGCAAACCATTCTCACATTGCTCGCATATATGCTTTGGTAAAAAGTCATTTTCTTCTATCTGAAATTAAAATACAATTTTTTCGTTAAAATTTATATTAAAGAAAAATAATTATTCTCTTTACTGTAATGTTCGCGCAAACTCTTAGCAACTCCTTCAATTGCTCATCGCCTTGAAAACTTTTGAGTCTTTCAGCTCCTCCGCAAATACGACATACTTCCATATTTTCTTTATAAGTTAATATTGAATTGAAACAATTTATTCAAAATTTACCCACAAAAAGTTTGTTTACTTGGAAAAATCCAACAACATTATTAGAGAAAGAACAAAACAGCTGATCGCGTTGCCAACTACCAATCGGTGACCAAAACTATCGATACTAGCGTAGCGTTCAAAATAATTATATTCAATTGGAATAAGTAAAATTTATATGGAATATATATACAATTAAACTAAATATTTTGCCAGTTTCCATTATATTAACGCACCGAAACTGTCTAATTGTGCTGCAGTATATGATATGTATAGATTGTAAATGTAAATATTGCCCATCTTTTCAGTGCGACAACTTCTGTGATAATTGCTACAAATTGTCATTAAGCTAACAGGCCTCAAACTTTAGTATGTATTGTTGTATTTTCAAACCAAAGTCCCGTAAATATTATTATATTCCGTTACAAATTATCGGCACTTTATATATTTTGTTATCTTTTTCGTATGGAATGAGTTCGTTATAAAAGTGATATAAAAATTATAGTGTGAAAACAGTATTATAATAAAGAATCAAATAAATTAAGCGGTAAGCAATTACATATTTCATTATCAGTTTTTTTTTTTTTGCAAAAAGAAATAAATAACTGCTTTTATCGTACTACATTACGTTTTTCGCAACCTAGCAACGCCATGGGTCTTGTATGTTTTAGCATTATGCAAATCACTATGTTTCTTTAGCTCTTCAACGCTAGAAAATGCGGATTGACACAGTTCGCATTCGAAGGATTCGGTAGTGTTATGGTGCCCGTTTATTGTATGCGCTTGTAAGTCATCACTGGTGGCAAAGCAAAGTTCGCATACTTTACAGACGAAATCAGTATCAACGGATATCTCATGTGTAGTCAAATGACGAAGCAAATTTTTTCTGAAGAGAGAATATAATTAATAGACATTTTAAACTTATTATTTACAATTACTTACTTAATTGCAAAGCATTTGAAACATTTTCGGCACTGAAATTTCTTTGCACGACTCGGCTCCAAAGCAGAAGTCGTCATTAAATCTACCACATGTGCCGACGAGCCAATATCATCAGTGCTCTCTGATGTGCTTTCGCCAATAATGGCATTTGCTTTGTCGTGTAGAGGATCCTCATCTAAAAATTCGAGCATGTCTGAATTCTCTTCGGTTGTTCCTTCACGGTTCGCGCATGACATGGCAGAGTCAACACGCACATAGTCGTTTAAGTGTTTTTTCATATGCTCCTGAAGCAGAATTTTATCAGCAAACACTTCTTTGCATATGGCGCATGTTGTTAACTCCATATTACCATGTTGCGACTTGATTGTATGCCGTTTAAGAATGTGGGTCTAATAGTAGGTGAAAAGATAAAAATTTCGTTTTTGTTATTCTATTATTAAATTAAAATGTAATATTGCAAACATTACCTTAAGCCCATCTTTTTGTCGGAAGAGTGCACCACATTTTTCACATGGAAATGGTTTATCGCCGGTATGTCGGCGTATATGAAATACTAGACTTTTACATTGGGTAAAACCTCTATGGCACACCTCACATTGATATGGCTTCTCACCAGTGTGTGTGTACATGTGCTGCTTTAAGGATACATTCTGGGTGAAGCTCTTGTTACATACATTACACTGAAATGGTCGGTTGCCTTCGTGTGTTGTCATGTGCCGCGTTAGGTTTGTTTTAGTGCTAAAGTCCCGATTACATTTAAAACATAGAAATCGCTTTGATGTATTCAAGTTATCACCTTTTTTTGCTGGTTTAGCACTCGAACCACGAACGTTGGTTTTCGCCTGGTATTTACGTGTTTTACTTTTAGTATCGTTTTCGACGAATTCAGTTTGCAGCTGTGATGAGGTGTCAACACTTTGTTCTTCATCTAGATTATCTTCGGCTATAGATTTCATTTCGATGTCTTGGTCATCCAATAGCTCTTCACTATCATCAAAGTAATTCAATTCTTTAGATGATGTAGTTTTATCATGTATAGAACTATTTTCTTCAAGAAACTCGCCATCTTCATCAAGCATTGCTTGATATTCCTTAAGAAATCCTCCGCTACTTTGCGGTTGCGGCTCCTCTGTACCAAGACTACTTCTAGTATCGTCACTAGGTTGAAGATTTTCTTCCAATATTTCTAATTCTGTTTGTGACTCTTCATCGGTGTATTCAAGTATTTGTATTTCGTGTTCTGAGGAATGTTCTTTTGTTGTTTCAATACCACACTTTGTGATGTCCTCTAGATTTTCTTCTATTTCCACTTGAATATTGGACTCAAAAGATTGATAATCTTTTATTTCTTTATTAACACTTTCTTTCTTAATATTTAATTTCATTTTGTTTTTGTATATATCTTTTGATATATCTTGCGGTGTAGTATCAGCTATAGCAGACTTTGTGGTCTTTAGTGTTATTTGACCTACATTGTTTTCCGTTTTTTCTATAGCAGTTTTTCTGTTATTAGTTTTAACACTACTGGATAGCTCGGAAGAAGAAACTGCGGTTTCATCTTTTTGTAACGATGTTTGCGTTAATGATTCTGTTTTCTTGGCTGCATTCTCTTCAGCAAGAATGTTTGACAAGAGATCATCGTCATCTTCGTTGTTATTGGATTTTCCAATAGTGTTATTTGTTACTAATTGAAAGTCTTTACTAATTTTTTCGAGAAATGCCTTCAAATTTTTCTCCGAGTCGTGGGCTAACTTTACGAAATCGTAGGCTACTCGCAGTCGTTTTAAGCACTTAGAACAAATTAAAGAAGGCATATCATCACTTTCTATGAGCTGTAAAAAAATAAAAATAAAACGAGAAGACAGAATAAAACAAATGGAATCCGCAATATTATTAATTTGTCAAATTTAAAATAGAATGCAGATACAATTAAATTGTTTTTAACGAAGACTTCTAATAACGACTATTACGCATCATTGATTAGAAATTTACTTGACCTCTGTGATCCTACATTTCATTCTATTTGCAAGACAAACAAGTAGATAACATTTAAAATATTTCAATTTATTTTTATATTTATAAGATGTATACATTTCACAATGTGCTTCAGAGAATTATGTTCACCTTTTAAGTCTTTACATTTGTTGTTATTCACTTCTTATCTGGCACAGTTTGCGCAATCCAACTTAAATACGGTGCATTGCCTTTTTCAATAGGCAAGGTTATAACCTCTGCTACACTGTAAGAATGGTTTTCACGTACAAACTTGATAACTTCGTCCATACGGCTCGTCCTCGTCTTGATCATCATTAAATATTCGTTGTCCTCATTAACTTTTCCCTCCCACATGTAAATAGACTGTATATGTGGAATTATGTTGACACAAGCGGCCAATTTTTTTTCCACTAAACCCTGTGCTAATTTTTTGGCCAACTTGTCATCTGGTGTTGTTACAAATGCCACTGAACTGCTACCTGCAGTGTATGAGTCTTCAAAAGTAGGATCACTCATGGCTTTGCAACTGGTAGTTAAGGTGCTACCACCAGTTTTATATGATTGTATAGTTGCTCTTGCGTTTAAAATATTCACTGCAAAGACGAAGGTCGCAAACAATTTACGAGATGTAAAAATAGCTGATGTATATCGCCGGGAAAGCACCGTTCGTATGAATGATTGCATTTACAATGTGTTCATTCAAAGTCCACCTTAAAATATGCCTTAAATAGCTAATTTAAGCCGGTGTTTTTGTTTGTTTATTAGATTGATTTTGGTGATTGCACTGACGTTTGTACATATTTCGTAGCAGAGTAGCTATTTAGAAGCACATATTGACACATGTATACATGTGTCTCCATGCTTAAAGGGTGTCAAAGTAGCAGTAAGCAGTTCGGTATTTCTAATCGATTGTAAAATGTTACTTGAATTTGGAAATCTTAAATGTTTTAATATTATCGGTTGAAATGTACAAAAAGTGGACATTTATTTCACTGTATATGATATTAATCAAAATAGCCTATTAAATGAACCGGGTACAACTGCGTATTCGCATATTTGAACGACCCTGTTGTCACTAGTAAAAGAATTTTCTACACGGCCATCTTCTCTAGTACATCGTCAATTCATGTACTAGAATTTAGTCGGTTAGGTATACAAAATATTTACCTTCAAACGCGTTGTAAACACAAACTTTTCGCGCAATTCTTCATCATCCATAAGTGATACGCTGTCGTCTGATTTCATACAAACACGGCAAATATTTATATTGACGCGAAAATTCATTATATTAACTAATTTTCCAATCAATTGGTGCTGAAATAGCTAAAATCCACTTGCAACTCTCAAAACGAACAACAGCTAAGGAAGCAATAACAAGCGGATTGACTTACAACACTGTACCCAGATTTTGGTGTTGCCAACCCGACCTAAAATGTGATTAACAATAACTATTTTCATATTAATTTTATTGTTCATCCTGGAAATTGGTTTCAATATATAATATTGAAACGGTGTCAAATTTAGTTCAAATAATTTTTGATAACTATTTTATAACGATTAAAATTTTATATTCAATACTTCCTAAGCTACAAAAAAATAAATTAATATGTAAAAGCACTATGCTGACATGTGGCAGTGTCTACTTCAATAACAGCTGTCACTTAAGACGTCATTTGCGAAGGAATAGTAAATAAAACAGATGGAAATATACTTGGTGGATAAGAAAAGAGAGTACAATACTGAAAAGGAGGTGTCAGAAATCGAAATCCAATTTGTTGACACAGCGATTCTTGTTACGATTTAATTACTAATAAATATATACGTACAGTGTCATAGTTTAAATAATAACGTAGCTTTGCTACTCGCAAATTTCAAGGCAAAGATGCCAACGAATAACACCAGTTCCAATTTCAAGACTTTCAAAGTGGTGCTATTAGGCGAAGGCTGCGTTGGCAAAACCTCTATCGTTTTACGTTATGTCGAAGATAAATTTAATCCTCAACACATCAGCACCTTGCAGGCTTCATTTCTAACAAAAAAGCTAACTTTAGAAGATGGTAGTCGAGCACATCTTAATATCTGGGATACGGCTGGTCAGGAACGTTTTCATGCTCTTGGACCTATCTATTATCGTGGATCTCATGGTGCCATACTCGTCTATGATATTACCGATGAAGACTCCTTTCAAAAGGTAAAAAATTGGGTAAAAGAACTTAAACGTATGCTGGGTGCTGAAATCGTTATAACAATTGTGGGCAATAAAACGGATTTAGATGCACAACGCACAGTGCCACAAGATGTAGCATTAGAGTATACCGAAAGTGTGGGGGCACATTATTTCGAGACATCTGCCAAAGCCAATGAAGGCATAGAGGAGCTATTCACAGCGCTCACACAATTGATGATACAGCGTCATGCTCAACGCGAACAAGAAACCAGTTCATTGCGTCTGTTGCAGGGTGGACGTACGTCACAACGATTGATTGTTGAGGATGACTCACAGGATGGCGATGAAGAAGGCAGACAAACGCCTACAACGAATAGGTCATGCTGTGGGGCTGGTTAAAATAGAAGGGTTTATTTAATTAAATGCTTAACAACCAAACGACAAAATACTGGTTAAAGAGGAAGGGTGGCAAAAGTAGCGTAATTATGTTAATGAGTGTGTGTAAATGCAAATTATGATAAAAAAAAGTTCTACGACGACGTAGACAACGCCAACGCCGATGCAGCCGCCGCTAGATTAAATTGTGATAAACTTATTGTAAAATATAAATTAAATATTTTTTTTTTTTTATAAAAAACGCTCTAATAATATATGCTTTTCTAAACATGTAATTTCAGATACTCTTTACTGTCGAACAAAAACTAAAATTTCATTTTTACTTTTACTAAATGCTATATTGATCTAATAGCTGACTACTTTCAACTTTCGATACATTTAAAGTTTGTTATTTTTAATACACATTTGTTGTTATTATTATAATACAATACAATTAAAGTTTTCTGCTGCAAATGGCAGCAAATAAATTCCAAAAGACTTGAAACAATGGATATTTTTATTTTATTTATTATGATATAAAAGCGCTTCGCAAAAAAAGAACGCCATTAAATATGATTCATGCAGCGCTTGAATTAAGCAACGAATCTGTACGCTTATCTTATTCTTATCAATGTCGCACATACACATTGTATATGTGTGCTGCAGGCTTGTGAGATGTTTTTAGGTGTATCCAACCTGCATAACTACAAGTGTCGAAATAAAAATTGTTGATATTTCAAGTATTTATATTTTGGCGATGTAAATGAGTCGGCGTATTTGCTTTGTTTGCGTATAGGAGTTTTATATTCAGTATTATTTACATACATTTACCTACGTAGACTTCTGGTGGATGAGAATATAATGGGCATTACTTACCCCTAGAAGCGAACAAACTGTATTTGTGAGATTTCCAATTGCGTTATTCACTTTTTGACATTAATAAAACAATCATTTTGCAGAGTCTACAAAAATATCATATATGTATTATATAGCATACATATTTGTATAAACCAATTTCATTATCAAATTTTTCTTGTCTTTTCTTAAAATAGTTTTCACTTATTAATTATTATAAAAATATGCAAATTCATTTGTTTTCTATAAACTACACTTAATATTATGAAATATGTATATGTGTATGCATACACATTTTATTCAACTTTTATGCTAAATATAAAAATTGAAAGACTCAAAAGCGAACATTTGAATAAAGTTAAAATATACTAAATTTCAAAACTTACAACTAAATACATAATTCTCATTTATACATATGAAATGCATAATTTTTTTTATTTATGTCAGGTCATAAACTAATTTACATATGGTTGCAATTACTATTCCGCACCTTTTTGTTGGTGAAGTTTTGAATTAAATTTTTTATTTTTTTTATATATATATGTTTAATATATTTCGAGTTGTGATCATTGATTTTTGTATATTAGCTTTTAAAACCTTGTATTTGCTTGCCGTTTCATAAAACTTCTCTTCTTTGTTAAACATTTTTAGTTGGAATTCTAAAAAAATTCTTAATCACAGAATTACTACATTAGATTGTCATTGTTTGTTTTTTTTGTGTACATTCATAATTTTTAAATTTTTTCTTTAGTGTATGTATGTATATGAAAAATCTACTATAGGTTATTCCTTACACGATTTCAGACAGTGTTCTTTCTTCTTTTACGCTTCTTTGTTTTTTTTTCCATTTGCCCTTACACACATCTTACTTGGTGCGATCGTGCTTTGAGGGTTCCACTTGTTTGGCAAATTCACTCATTACTTCCTTGTAGATGGCAGGATCCAAATTGCGACCCAACATATAGATGAGCCACCAATCACCAATGTCCAATTTGCGTGAGAGCGATCGACAGATCTCCATGGGCACCATGCGATTGCGAGCATTGAGTAGACGTGGTCGGAATTTGGGCATGAAAATGATGCAAGCGCTAAAGAAGTGCAAAAAGAAATTAATTTCAATAATTGAAAAACAGCTTTGATGTGTGTAAACTCACCGGAAGAGCAGCAGGCCGATCAACATCACCAGCATAATCATGTACCAGAACCAAATGAATACATAAGTCTTCTCATTGACAATATTCAACGGCAGTATGCATAGCGAATCGTGCTTCTGCAGTGAACCGGAAGCACCATATTTATGGAATATACACTTGGTGACACGTGGAAATATGTAAACCATTGGATCGACACGCTGCTCCTGTGGCACGTCCGACAGCTGCATGATACGTGTACCGTAAGACATGAATTCACCATCGAAGAAACGATTCATCAAATACATTTGCACAATGATATTGATAAAGCAGAGTGCCTCGCAGGCCCAGTAGCGCATGGCATACAGTTTGTGGCGCTGTATATTAAAAAAGAAAATTAACAAATTGTTTTTGAAATATCAACGCTTGAAATTACCTTCACATGCTTGATTAGGTAGTCCAATAAGGCATCACGCTTCGCCTCCTTTTCCTCACGCGTACAAATCGTTAGATTTAGACCCATGACGATCATGCGCATCAGCCCACCTTCAAATTTGTCCCACAAAAACTTCGGTGTGTAGCAAGCGATAGCCTAAAAGTATGCAAAGTTATAGAATAAGCGTTTTAATTGCTATTTTGTAGGCATAAGCTCAACAGTAGGCAATATTTGCAGGCGATTCCGCATATTAGCTGAGTGTTAACTTTATGGGGTGGCAATACATACATACATATATACTTATATTATTTGTAATGTTGCATATTCAGATCACATGCGCTAAAGCCGTAAGCCTTTTTTTGTGAATTTTTTTTGAATATGCAAATATTTTTAACAAATAAATAAAAATAGTATACATTTACAGAATTTAATGTACTTTAATAATCGGTGATATAAAAAAAAAAAAAAAATTGCATTCCCTTAACCATAGCCGATCTCCAAGAGGACTTTCGAAAAGAGGTACTTGACAATGATGAACAATTTTCTGCTTAAAATTATCTTCAAACAAGAAAAACAAACTTCAACTGCACCGAAGCCCTTCACAAGTGAATTTCTTATAGCATAAAAGGTGAGAAAAAAAACTTTGTCTTGAGTTTGATTGGCCAGTTTGTAAGGTAGCAGTAAGTCAGCTATGTATATGCTAAAGTGGCCCAATCTGAAAAATTTCTACGGAGATTGTACCGTAGCTTTAAAAAAAAATCCCTGCCAAATTTCGTAAAGATACCTTGTCCAGTTTGCATGACAGTTATATGCTATAGTGCTCCGATATCGCTGTTTCCGCCATATGAACAGCTTCTTGGGGATAAAAAGACGTGTGAAAAATTTTGGATCTATATCTCAAACATGGAGGAACTAGTTGCTACAGATGGCCAGAAAGACGGACACGGCTAAATCGACTCGACTAGTTATGCTGATCATTTTTAGATATGTACATAAATTTTATAGGGTTAACTTCGAAGAATATACATAACATATATATGTATATGCGAAAAATCTTTAATTTTTTTTAAATCATAAGTGCATATAAGCTCTTAACTGCAGTGCGCCTCATTCATCGTAAACGATAACCACAGTGTTCAACTGCTAGCCGATTCTCTCAGCAACCCCAACCACGTTTGTCGCATTCAATTGCAACACTTGTAAATCACAACTGTGTACTCGTAAATACTTCCAGCGGCCGCTTTCAAGCCTACTGTAATGCCGCTTGTGACATAACACTACACCAACACCGAAGCCGGTTAAATACGGTCATTGATCTTGCCATGTTTGGTCCATGAAATTTCCAGGCCAACTACTTTTTAAAATATTCTTTTGATCGCTATTATGGCATTGATTTCGTGATACTATTTTTACGGGTTTTCAAGCAATTAAAATCATAACATGCATGTCTGGCTGTCTGTCTGCTCAATTTGTCTGTTTTAAACATGCACGGCAAAGACGTTGTTTTTGGGGCACAATGCCAAATAAATTAGGTTGTTGTCTGAATTTCGTGAGCTCATGAGTTTACGATTTATTTATTTTTTTTTTTTTTATCATACAACTTTATTTAATTAGAGTTATTTCTATTTTTGGTGTCGTTTTTCGTCACTGATTGTGTTGCAATTTAAAACTTCCTCCATTTGTCCTACTTAAAAAGTGGAATTTGGAACTGTGTGAAAATGGAAAATTTCGTAATAATTGTATTTGTAAGAATTTTTTAACTTAGTGTAATCGGCTCCCAAAACTGGAAACGCGTTTGTCAAGCCTAAAAATGTACATTACCTAGGTTCTATTGTGTCTTCTCTTTCATCACATGTGTGTCCAAAGGCCCAGCACCCTGAGAACACTAGAAACCTGCTGGGCGCTATTGAGGTAATGCGATTCCTGAATGGAACCGAGAGCCTTGAGCCTGCTTCTTTGTTTTGCAATTTAGACTATGAGGATACTCAGAGAGAGAGATTCATCGATGAGTGGTGTGTTGGAATAGTCGGTAATCCTGTGACCTTTTATGTGTTTCTCTTTTTTGAGAACATAACTGGGATCCTCTTTTTCGCGCACCCATGCTTTTACTAAACTAAAGAGGTGTTTTCACGTTGAATTTACAATAAAAAAAATGATAAAATCCACATGATTTCAGTAGAAAATTTTATTTATATTAATTTTTAGATTTTTTAGAAATTTGCTTTCCATAGAAATTCTTTTAGAATTTTCTGTTCTTATATAAAGATTAAAAAGTCTAGAGCATAAAAGGTATCCGCAAAGACGAACACAACAATTAATTTGTTTCTTGGTCCTCTGTTAGTGGAACTTTCAAATGTTTTAGGTTCCAATAGCAACTAACCTTAAATTTTAGCATTAATCCTATACAATATAAACATATATAGAATGTAGAAAAGAAGAGCAGCGTTCACACGACAAACGGGTCTACGTAACCTTAAGTGACACGAATTTATACTCATTCCTAATAATTATTTGCAGACTTTTTCAGTCGCTTCAGTTCTGGAGTGAGAACAATTTTATATGGATTCCAGCCCAAATCCTCTCTTAAAATCCGCCAGGTTGTGGTTTGAGACGGTCCAACTTTTTGAGAACGTCTTGGAATCGACAAATTACGGTCTTCAGCAACACTTGCCTGAATGACAACAATATTTTCATTACTTTGAGCGGTTCTTTGACTTATTGGCACTTGAACATTATATGAGCTGTAGTAAGGAGAAATCCATTATTTTTCAACTAGATGGCGTTATTTATCTGTATCTCGCGTTTGAACTAAAAAAGTTTTTCTGACAGTTTTGTGATTAGTTGATTCAGTTTTGTTTGAGCGCGCTTCAAAGATGGACACTAGCAAAGAGCAAAATGGTTTTTCTTTGATAAGGGCCAGGCGGCTGAAAATGTGAATAGCGTTTATGGTCCTGATAATGTAACAGCCAATCATGAGCAATTTTGGTTTCGTCGATTGTGTTTTAAAGGCATTGATGAAGATTTGTATTGAAATACGTTGCATTGTTTTTTTTTTGTCAGTCCGGGTCAAATTTGTTCAGATGGTATTCTATTTAAAAGCTCCACCTATATAGACAGCTATCGATTTGAAACTAATTCAAATAGATGTGCGTTGGATCTATATTTCTGCTATTATAAGCGCTTGTTATTACAACCTCCTACTTCAGCTCCACAGTAAGCTGAAAAGCTTCTTTTTTTATATACAAGATCAGAAGAGTACACTTGTGCGCCTCTACACCTTAATGGTTTTATTTTCGCCTCATTGCAAGATCACTTAAGTTGCCATCTAAGCCAACACAAAACCTAATTTGTCATACAACAACAACAACAAAGGTGTTTTTGTGATTAAATTGAGGACAATTGTATTTACCTACAAACATACAAGCATACATACATATATAAATATGTACAATATGTGTAGTGTGGATATATTATATTTATTTCATTTGCGGTTTGGGAGCACTTTACTGCATTTCAACCGGATGATAGCCTCATTATGTATGTAGTTGATACCAATGTTTGTGTGTATGTATGTGTAGATTATTATACAACTACAATATATATATATCTATATGCAAGTAAGCACATAAGCAATTTCTTCAACTTAGTTACTTCTTAAAATTTTATTATTATGTCAAACGGACAGAGCAAGACACAAAACAAAATCTATTCGACGAGCCACGCGTACGCACACTCACACACAAAAATCTACAAATGTGTATATTAGGGTGGAGCGAAAAAAAAAATTATTTTTTGCTTAGCCTGGGGGTAAAATCTGTAGATTATAAAAAAATTACATTTTTGGACAAATAAAAAATTTGTTTAGCACCTAGGGGCAGTTTTAAATAAATTTTCGAGTAAAAATTTTTATTTCCTAAAAAATTTTTTATAAGTGTTCTAGAAGCTGTGGAGAGTCCTCTTTCTGGCCCATTAAAATTTATCAACTAAAAAAATTTTTTTGTGGTCATTATTGAAGTTTAAAAAAAAGTCTTAAATGACCACATGCTTTCTTTAAGCGTTAAAATAAATTTTGTGTAAAAACCGTCAAATTCGGTATATTTTATACAAACGTGAAGAGTTTAAAAAAAAATTATTTTTTTTGTCCAAAAAAATGTTAACTCGAAATTTACTTTAAAACTGAGTGCGCCGCCCCGCCCGTAGGTGTTAAAAAAATTTTTTTTTTGCCAAAAATTTTCTTTGTTTAAAATCTACAGATTTTACCCCCAGGCTAAGCCAAAAAAAAAATTTTTTTCGCTCCACCCTAGTTTATATGTATGTATATTCATATTTCTCACAAAACGTGTACGCTGCGAAATTCGGAGTCACTGTACGCACTCAATTAAACTCAATTGATATGAAATTGAAACTTTTTTCGAATAGAGCGTTTAAGCAACCATTCTAAAGCATAGGCAGAGGAGCGTGACTGTGTTCTGAAGCTTCGGTAGCCACACAAATGTTTGTAGTTATATGTGAGTAATCTCGAGTCGCACAGGTCGTCTACAGAAAATCACGAAATTATGATCATTAATTGAGCACGAAATAAATTTTATATATGCCACTAACAGCCACTGGGTATATCTTTTTGATGTGCCAAAACAAGATGTAACAAAAATTGTGTATATGTATTTCATTGCGCAAATATCATAAAAGTGATCAGCGATCACCGCCAATCACCTTGGCATACTTATGTACCTTGCTACCAACGGTACTTTCTAATTAAACTTCAATTCATTTTTATTTCTCAATTGTTTCCCCTGTCGTTTTTGCTTTTATTTCAAATGATTTTGTGGTATTTGTTTTTTTTCATAATCAATCAAATGCAAAAGAGCTTGACAAGCATATAAAAATACGCGTGCGCTCTCGTTTGTTTGCCTTATAATTGTGAGCTGTATATTATTTTTATGGCATTTTTTTTCTTTCAATATATAATATTTGCAATTATTTACCTTAATCTTATTCTTTGTATATACATATATAGAATAGATATTTTTGTCTTAAAATTTGAAAGCTTTCATACTCATTAAAATGCTGTGCTTGTGACCTCTTTTTTATAGTTACGCATACGCCACTCAGTTTGACAGCTTAAGTGAGTAGTTTCGGTAGTTTTCAATAATATATGTACCAACATAAACATATATGTATATATGTATATACAATGCACGTGTTAAGAGGTCAACGTCATGAGCATCACAGTTGCTTTTGATATTATTACGTTTTTTGTTTGTTTTTGTTTCCAACCCTTGTCTAACTTCCATAAACCGTTTCTATTTGCGCTTAAAAAATATTTAATCACGTTTTTATATTCCATATATAGAGTTATGGGCTAGGCAAATATTTACATACATAGGCTATGTCAGAAACCTTTTAGGGCGAATAATTCTCTTGCAAAACAGAATTATCAAATGTGAATGGTCGGTTTCTATGAGATGATATAATAATTTTTTTTTTCTAAGATTTATGAAATATTGTAAAAAACGAATAAAGCTTTCTGCAATCTCAACGAAAGTCGCTAAAGAAAAAAAAGAAAAGTTTGTAAAAGTTGTTTTTTCGTTTTTGTTTAGACAATTTTAAGAAAACTTCTCCATGGCATTATATTTCTTCGCATTTCCTTTGTAAGATTTCTTTAATTGGTTTCGGCAACTTCTAATCAGTGTTTTTGAAGATTTGAGTTTGCTATGAATTTTGTAACACCCTGAGGGCAACATCGAACACCCTATATACCTATCAGTGATTGGCGTAATAAGCTAAGTCAACAAGCTAAGTCGGTTTAGCTATGTCGGTGTATCTGTCCATTTGTATATAGCCGAACTTCTCCCTCAGTTTTCGTTATATTGTTTTGAAATTTAACAGACGTCCTTTTCTGCCCAGAAGCGGCTCATTTGTCAGAGCCAACGGTATTCCAACAACTATAGATATAGCAGCCATACAAACTGATCGCTCAAAATTATAATAAAATTTTTTTTTTAGCTTCGGTGCAGACCAAGTTTACATGTTTTTTTTTTTTTTTTTTAATTTATATATATTATATTTTCAACATTTATCCGCTCATCGTTGCACATGCGCAGAGTGCAGTTATACACATTCTGATCATTAAAAATCTTTTTCTCTTCCAAACTCGAATGCCATTCATTCTCATCAAATAAGTCGTCCAAGAATTGCTTCAAGCCAAACTGCATTTGATTTATACTGGCCAAGACATTACTAGTGCTTCGCATGCGTTGTTCGACAGTGCGCAGCTCGGGTGCCCACACCAAATATGTTGCTGATATTTTCTAACAACTTGTAAGTGACAGCAAAAATAAGAAAAATGCCCACAGCAATGCGCTTGCGACAGTTTTGCATCGCGCACACACACACTCATACACATACAACCACAAAAGGCAACAACAGTTTCAAGCAATCAACGAGATCACATGACAGGCCATTATTGTGGCAAGATCGGCACATTTTCTTTCGCTTTCACAACAGGCAAAGGCTGACTGACGTCTGACCAAAGGGGGTATGTGTGGTAGATTAAGTCTGTTAGACACATAAATTGTTTAGCCTTAAAAGGCAACTTTTATTTTGCTGTTGCCTCTACTGTTGATTTTGCTGCGCGAGATGTTTGCAACAATTGGCATTGCTGGCCGTAATTTATTACTTTATTTTATTTCTGAGTTGTTTTTTTTTTGTTGTGGCAAGCACTTACATACCTGAAAGAAGAGTACGAAGCAGACCCATTGGTAGTATGTGTAGTATTTCTTGGCATCCTCATCGTTGAAATCATTGGCAACACCAGGATGAGCTACTTCACGGCCGACCTGTGTGTGAAAGGCAGGAGAAGGGAAATTGTATTCGTTTTTGCTATTAAACAGTTAAAAGAGTTATAAAATATATAAAAAAATGTATGTGCGTGTATTGGAGAAGTATAATATTTATAGATAGATATGCGTGCCTCATTTAAATTAATTATGTTTTGGATTTTTTTCTTTTGTGCGCTTAAATTGTCTGCATTCGTTTGCATAATAATTACCATTCAGCTAGCTCCCTTTCTTCGACACACCTAACTTCGTTTTGTGTTCGCCTAAACAGCAAACGGTTACGCATGCGCGACGCGTCTTAATTAGGGCACACGTATGTTGTTGCATTTTGTTTCTCTGTCGAGAACATTTTTTAAGGCGTGGTAAATTTCATTTCCAGTAATGAGAATATAAATTAGCTCGTTAAAAAAATTTCAAAATATTTCAGTCATTAGAAACATAATAATAATTTAAACTAAAAAGTTTAGTGTGGTCTTTGTAGGCCATATTTTAGAAAAAAAAAATAAAAAAATAATTAGCCGTTTTCATAGCTGTAGTATGAGTATTCCTACAGTGAAATCAGCTGGTTATGAACTAATTTGTAACTAGTATCATTCTCAAGCCAAACTAGTCAGTCTACTGCTTTTTCCAGGCTAGTGTTTATGTTATACAAGATGACAATTCTCCGATTTTGGTAAAAAATATACTAGATTTTTACTAGTTCGATATAGTTAGCTTAAGGGTTTTTATCCACTTGCAAGTCAGAAAAAAGCCGGTTTTTGTGAATTTTGTTTAAATTTTTTTGTTTAATGAAAAAATGAATTTTTTTGTTCAATAAAAAAAAAATAAAATAAAAATGTATAGTATTTAATAAACAAAAAAAAAACATAACAATAATAATAATATACATTAACAGAATTAATTGTACTTAAATGATCAGGGATTCATTTAGAAGCATTTTTGATTCCCTTGTTCACGTAGCCCATCTGCAGGAGAACTTCCGAAGCAAGTTTCTGGCGGTTTTTCTGCTTTAAATTATTTCCAATCCGAATTAATTTATTATTATTAATACTATAGTTGAATACAGGTAATTATAGAAGAACTAGTCGAAATATTGATTTCTAAATTGGTATTGATTGCAAAAATGCGGGCTTCAGAAAAAAAAAAATTTTAAGAAAAAGTTTACGCTTCAGATTGACTTAAAAAATCGAAATTATTATCAAAAATCTTATTCCTTTGACCACCACCTGAAAAATACTATATGTAAGAAGGTCGTGTGAAAATTTCAAGTCGATCGGTTCAGCTGTTTCGGAGAAATTTTCCACATCGACTCTGAAAACAACGTTTCCAGAAAAACGCGTTTAAAGTTTTGAGAACCACTTCGAACACTTAGTTCGAAAATTCTTACAAATATGCTCAAATCTCCGAAATTATTTGCCAGGTAAACTTTAAATTTATGGAAAATATTTTCAAATGTGTATTCGATATAACAATAATATAAATTTTTTGAAATTCACAAGTGGATATAACCCTTTAACTCGTTTTCTCAAGCAAAGTTTTATTAAAAAAATACTCTGACACGTCAACTTCAAATGGCTTGTAAACATCGAATTAATTGACAGAATGAGTTGTAATCTTGCGTGTGTTCGCACGACAGATGTACCAACTTGAGAACAAAAATTTGGAGCTAGTAGTGCTCTCTCTTGGTGACAACAGAAACTGTTCAACCAACCTGTATATTTATATACTTAAAAACTAAACAATAAAAAAGTACAAATCATTAAATATAAGGGAAGCAAACACTTAGCGCTGTCAACTAAGCAAATTCAAGTGAAATTCAAATCTTCTTAAGCGCAAGCACTTCATGTAAATACATGCAAACAGATGTATGTATGTCGGTATTTACAAGTACCCATCACACGCTGGCCTAGCCGCATGCGCGCCGCCACAGGTATCCAATTGCTCATTCCGCGAAGCACTTGCTAAATACTTTGAGGCGATGCGCATAAACCAACAAAGTTTGATTGCTGCTTGAAGGGTTTCGCGTTTCCTCTTGCAGACTTACAATGAATTAAAATAGTTCTTTTATGAAAGTGTATGTACATATAATATGTACAACGAGCACTCTCCTTCATATTAAAATTGCGTAAAGCTTCTCTACTAGAAGAATTGTTGCGCATGCGCGGATATTGTGCGCCAACATACAAAAGCGAAATATGCCGCGCAAAATTCAAATCAATGTTTTGTCTTTCTTTGTAGACACTTCTTTCATTATAAACACTCTACCTCAGTGTATTGCTTATACTTTTCATACTTCTGGTATTACGAAACCAAACAAGAAATGCTGCCCCCAACAAAGCAGTGCTGTTCCGCTGTACTCAGACCACAAAAGGCGGCAGTGGCGGTACATTCATAGGGGCATGTCTGGTTAATTGTTTAAAATTCAATCTATCGGCTATACTATCATTATAGTTATTACACACATACCTCACTTAGTGAATATACATCATACGTATGTATTCGTCAGTATGCGCTGTTTGATCGGTAGGCGAAAGCAACGTGTTTTTAATAATTAATAAATCCACCACTTCTTCATATTCATAAAAAACTTATATGCAAATTATGAATATAAAAATACAAAGCACATTACATACATTGCGAACGATTGAGGTCAAGTGTTACTTGTCAAATATTTATATTTTGTTGAATAGTGATAATTGGAGGTGATAGGGACCTTACCTTTCAATATTAATTTCAAAATTCTTCCTTTATGTGTTTTCTTTAAAAAACGCATTTTTTAAATTAATTCATTCATAAAATGCAGCACAATCGAACAACTTATTGATAAGTACTATCGACCGTTGATAGTAGCGATTACTTTTGTTTTCAATTCACCATCGATCAAATTTGACTTGGACTGGTCCATTAAAAATTTCTAGGGTTTCTACAACCTTTTTTTACGTTCGTGTTAAGTTTAATTTCCATATCTCAATTATTGTGTGCTGCCAAACACTGTTTGTTTACTACGCGAAAAGTTTGTCCCTCGATATTTAGCATGAAAAAAAATTTAACCACTTGAAATTTTTTTTTCAAATGGAATCACGGCTACAAAATCATTGAAAATATTGCAGAAGTGTTTTGGGGTGTCTACTTTAACACGAACTAGTGAGAATATGGCACAACACAGTCAAGGAAGATTGTGAAGTCATCGAAAACTTAACTCTTGCGATCCACCTCTGTTAATGACTTTAACATCGAAAAATTTAAGGTATATTGCTTAAAAATCGTCGTGTTGGCATCAAAGAGATGTCAGAGGATCTAAACAATTCTTATGGATCGACTTAGCACATTTTAGTTAGTTTTGGGTATGTAGCATGTCAATGCTAGCCTCATACCAAACGACCTGAATCTTTTGCAAAAACGACCTCGGGTAGAGGTTTTAAAAGAAATGCTTGACAACGTAGCTGAGGACTCTACATAAATCGAACACATCACTACTGATAAACGAGACGTGGGTTTATGAATATGGCTTCGAAAATGTCCAACAATCCATCGAATGTTGCTCCAAAAATAAGCCGAACGAGAAAAAACTAAAATTCGATAAAAGCACTGAATACCATCCTAGCTTATAACAAATGTAAGAAAAATTGTACTAAGTGTTAACATACCTATATAGCTTATTTTAACCGCGAAATATTTAATACAAAAATACATGAACTTTTTTTTGTTTTTTTGTCAGTACGGGTCATTTTTGATCAGGTGGTAAAATCGTTAACAGTAATAAAATTTAAATTATTGTAATATTTTCCAAATTACTAGCAAAAACTATTTTACAAAAAAGGTTAAAAAAATTTAACAAAAAAAAAATAACCGTCGTTATACCGATAGTACCAAAACAACTGTCGAACGGGATTCTAAATAATCATCTACCATGATCACGAACAATGCTGCTAAGCTTTACTTCATTTCACAGTATTTTTCTACTTATATGACCTATTCTGATGATTCAGGCTTTGCCTAGACCTATAACCATGTTCTATATTAAATTTGTATTATAATTTTCTAGTTCAGGGTACTTTAGAGAGTACTTGACAGGTTTTTTAGTTCTGTTTTCGATTTTAAAACGAAATTAAAAAAAAAATCCTCTATATTTATGCTAATATATTTCGAGTATATCCTTCAGAGCTCTATTAATATCTATTTTTGGTCCACCTGAGGAATAAACTATACTTGTATAGTCTATAAATAGCTTGTCAACGAACTAGGTATGTGAAGATAGTGAAAATAATAGTTAAACTTTTTTATTTGTGGTAACCATATCGAGTATAGTAGCCACTAGGTAGCGATTTGGATTACGCATGGCAACCGTCTACTCATCATAGGCTGTTACCGTTTTAGTGCAGTATTCCTTACCACCTTTGAAATCTAAAATTCAATCAACTGGTCTGGAAGAATATAATACGAATTTTTGGTGTATGAATACGTTGAATTTTTTAAAGAAAAAATATATGCTCTATTTTGCATATATTGACAAACATTTCCAATCGAATAATTCCTCAGAATTGTTCTTAAAAAATTGTATAAAAAGGAATTTTTTAAATAAAATTTACTCTGTTTTATTTTCTTTTTTTGGAACTAAATTCAGAATTCTTATAATTTGATAGTTATTCTACTAAAAAATTTCAGCAGTAGCAAGAGATCGACATCTATGCACCACTGCACTTACATAAAAGAAGTGTTAGTCTTTTGAATATTTTGAAACCTACATATAATATATGTATTTATCTTGCATTTCTTCATGACTCATAAAATTAAAGCTGGCTGTGTGAAAGCTTTTAACCATATTTGCTCAATATAGATATCCAAAGTTCTATATTTCTTGGTCTCCTGAAACAATTTTTGCATCTATCACAACAAAGTTATTAAAAGTCAGTAAAGAGATCTTTACAGAAATTGCAGTTGGACGAATGATAGACATGTCATTGAACTTAAAAGCCCACTTAAAGACTGAACTTAGTTTACTTAGGAGATGTGTCTGGTATTGGAAATAAATTCTTCTACAACTTTTAAATTAACCGCAGCTTGGTTTTTAATTCAGGTGCTTCAATATAGATTTTGTTATTTTTGATTTCTCTCTGCTACGGCGAAAATTCTCTGAGCGTTAGTTTACGTCAATCAACATAGGCGATCACAATACGCCTTTCATTATTTTTGATTGCGTCTTATGTGATCTCCGCAAAAGGCAAGCGTCTTATACGATACAATTAATATAATGTTCGTTCTGTAAAGAACTAATGTATATGCAACTATATAGATACTTACATATGTAAACAAATATGTATACATAAATTTACCCTCGGGTATGTAAACATTCACTTATCTTAGTAATATACACCTACATAGATATTATGAAAAGAGCTTTATGAAACTTATACGAACTTAAATATGAGAACCCGCCTTTAGGCGATGGTAACTCAATATCGTCGCGGTATACTAAATACAAACATATGTACGCGCTTACGTACAATCTACTTGAGTAGATAAAAATTGATGTATGTAATTGTAAATGATTCTCACTCACCTGTCGCTTGAATGCGTCTGGCATCGTAAATGTGCTATGAATCCAACAGAATGTATTCACCACGTGCGTCGGTATGCCACTCACGATGCAACTGATCGGATGACCTACAAATTGTGTGGCCGTAATGATCATACTGCAGGTGAGCAGCAACACGGTCGTAAATGAGTTGTGCAGGCGGAAGATGGCATTGTCCGTCTCAATGGGCTGCCATTTCAGATAGGATTTTAAACCGGCTAGCAACTTATACATTTTGTAGCATTAATTAAGACTAAGTGACGTAATGATGTGTGGAAAATTGCTTAGTCACTCTGTGTCTAACTGGATATATAAATTACTTAGTAGATAGTTTATTGGCAGTTTGTTGTCTAGTGTAAGTCCTTGATTTATTTGTTCTTGCTAAAATTAGCGCCAATTCGAAAATGGCAGTGAGTCATAAACAAGAAAACCAATTGTAAAGTTTCTGTATTCAAAATGCAAAATTCCGTAGGTCAATCGTTGTTATTGTTGTTTGCGTTGTAAAGAAAATGAATCACTAATAAAGTGCAATTGTATGCTGATATGCGACGTAGAAACATCAAAGGCTGTTGCAAGTTCATATCAGCTGCAAGAAGAGAAGAATAAAGCAAAAGATAATTAGAATTTTTTATTAGGAATTTGCAAATTCTTAGTAATAATGCTTAAATGCAACACGACACATTTCTTTATAAATTAATTAATTAATAATGCCTATTAAATCATTCGGGAATTTCTCACAGGAAGTTAACCGCTTTTGAGTTCATACATCACAATTTTTCCTAAAAATAAGGTTATGTTGCTCTTTTAAACATTGTCGTATTAACGTCATACGGGTATTTGTAAAAGAATTACGTAGATTTGATTCTCTTACTAACGAGGAGGTTCTTAAGTATTTATGTATAGTATGTATATTGTCAGTCATGATTCTTAAAGCTCCAAATATGCTCGGAAACGAGTCTTTTCCTTACAAATAGATGAAGTAAATATACGTAAAAGTTCAAAGAAAAAGTAAAAATCAGACTCGGAGAGTAAAAAAACAATATTTTTTAAATTGTAAATTTTGTAGCAGTCGAGAATTTTGAAAAATGGGCTTTGAAACACATTAGTAACTAACGGTTTTATGATTGATTTACACATATTTACACTGATTGATGAACATATGGGGATTATTATACCCTGAAAAGGCTATATTAAGTTGAACGAAGTTTGTAACACCCAGAAGGAAAGAATTATGAGCTGAGTCGATTTAGCCATGTCTGTCTGTCCGTCTACCTGTAAGATAAGAATCTAAAATTTTGCACACATCCCTTTCTCCTCAAGAAGCTGCTCATTCGTCGGAACCGCCGATAACGATTAACGTTCTTTTCTTGTTTTTAAATGTCGTCAGACTAGCGAAGATTTGAGAGCGAACTAAGAAGTTTAAGGAACAGCAATAAACTGTTAAAAGCTATGACTCTTTGTCTCTAAATGAACCAATCACAGTTAATTTGAAAATCTCAAATATCTGTAAACTTTTAACATACCGAAGGCGAGGGAATGGTTGAAATGGTTTAGTTCGAGGTATTTTTAAACACAACGACTTCATTTGAAATTTTTAAAATTATTTAAAGTATGCCTCCATTTCTTTCGATTGCAAAATAATTATGACTAGTTACATTTTGTTCACTACCAAGGCTGTAAACATTTTAATCGCATGATAGTTTTTAACAAATAAACAGTCCTAAGGCGTGTCATTCTAAAAAAAGTTCATATTTACTTATCTATGTGAAAACATAAAAATACTTGTATATCTGTTTAAATACGTTTGTATATAAATATTTTGAAAAATAATAATAATAACTTCTTATCTCTTTGCGGCATAAAGCCAAGCCTATTAGTCACAGTTGTAAAAGCAAAACATTTGTGACACAATGTGTACCATATGCATTTCCTTAAGTAAAACAATTACTGTAGATTCTATTGTTATGACCCCAAAATTTCAAATTCCTATACTATGTGAAGTATTAATTAGTTACAAAAAAAGTTCTAGACAGTCAAAATACTTATGTATATGATGACTGCATGTGTATAAAATTATTAATAATATAATACTATTAATAATAATAAAGATATTAATAATAATAAAATAATTCAATTAGAGCTGAGTTTTAAAGTTAACTGTTGAATATTAAAATTTGAACAATATTGGTTGTAACAAATGCGGCTTACAAAAATTTTAACAGAGATTCCAGGCTAATATATGTATGGTATTTCTAAAACTATTCGAAACTGAAATATTGCGATGAAACTTGATAATATGTATATTTAAAAATTATTTAAAATTGAAAATAATTGCTAATTTTGTATCCAATTAAGTTGGGTACATCCAAACTACCCCGTATGCTAATATCTGTCAAACTCGTTGATCGTTCAAATCTGCGCCAAGAACAACATTCTCCCTCGCTAGATTTTTTTGTATACATACATACGAGTATTTCAATTTATTGAATTTTACCAGAACACTGCCGTTGCCTTTCCAGCGGTGGGGGCTGCCACCAAAATTGCAGTAGATGTACTGCTCCGTAGTGCAGCTTCCTTCAGCGAGGTGTGCATTCACTCCGATGGCAGAGCGGCAGTGCTGGCTTTCGCTGATAGTACGCTCAAGAATAGTCAAGGAGTCTTTGATCTCTTTTGAGGAAGGCGAGGTGGAATTATCTACGCACTTTTTTCTCAACTGTCCAGCGTCTACCCTTCTGATATAGCCTAACTTTCGATTTCGGATTTGAAAAATAATTATAAGTCGATGAAATTTGATCTCCCCAGCCCCACTGTATCTTTGTGGACTTCAAGCTTTCTTTCTCTTTGTACTTCTTAATAATCCTAACTAAAATTAACGATAAATTTAGTAATAGTTTATTTATGTACATACATACATATATACAAAATGTACAGCATATTTTCCTAAGCCTACCATATATATGTACATATATATACTTTTATTTACCAGATATTTTAAAATCCATTAGTTATTGTATAATAATAACTTGAACTGTCAATTCATTGTGACGCCAATTACATAATTAAATCGTCGCTATGATTCAGTTGAGAGTTGCTAAGGCATAATAGGAAAACAAAATCACTCATAATAGCTGACGAGGTAAAAATATATGCTATTCATTCGGCTGACATTTGCACGTGTATTTTAACGAAATTCACTTCCACTAGAGAGAGTAATAATGAGTTTAATCAAGAAAAATAAACGCCAGCATTTGCCTATGTAAATTAGCCGGCTGTTGGGCATGCCATTTTTATTTCCGCAACTACTACGAAATATAAAAAAATTAACGTATTAAAATGCAAAGATTGACTTCAAAAAAATAATTAAATCGTGAAAATTTTTATTAAGCGTGCATGCCAAAAATTCCAGTAGCGTCTGAGTCAACCGTGCATTGCACTTTGTCGTCAGCGAACAGCGAATTGGATGAATTGCTGCGGCTGCGCACGACTGAATCGCAAATTAAAGGCAGAACGTTGATTTTTTTCCAAATAAATTATGATGAATTTATTAATTGAACTGTGTCTGCTTGCCGTAGACTCTTTTTTCGAAATTCTTATATATGTATGTACATACTGGTATTCGTATTCAGTATCGTGTATGAAGCCGTACAGTCAAATCGCTGTTAATTTAATTTTTATAGCTTTTTATAAGCGGTTTTTAACACTTAACTGTGTGCATATAGCAAATAAATTTTCGTCTGCGTCGTCAATGATTGAAAATTAAATTAAATCGAATTTATTGTTTGTAGTCTCTGCTCTTGAGGCGAGTGTAAATTTCCCAGCAATTATGAAATGCATATTACAACTAAAAATTGAAATAAATAAAAAAATTTTAAATAAATTAATTTTATTCATTACAAATACTTTCCAGACATTTATTTTGTCTGCATTTTTTTCTAGAAAATCGCTTTTGTTTTCCTTTTGTTAAAATTTATCTTTTGTTTATCTAGTTTGTTTATTTCTTTGTCATCTCCTACACATCGGCATAGCTATTTTCGTCGCAGTACCAACAAAATTAACATATGTCATATCGAATCGTTTTACCAGCTTGAGTGACAATGCTCGATGGCATCATTTTAAAACAATAACAGCTGGTGTTTGTGGAACTTTCTTGGAATCGCTTTCGGAACTGATTTTTTGTCATTTAAATCTTCAGCGCACTTCCAGTTTCATTTCTTCTTAAATGCGCGGTTTTGGTCTTTTTATTATGGTACTTTTTTAATGTCAAATAATGAGCATGTGTGTGGCTTTTATTGCGTTATGTATGTACATCTGTTTTTCTTTATACAAGTTTTAAAATTTTTAAATAAATCACGTTTTTCGATTTAAGGGTGGAAAAATACTGATTGTTTATTTTATTTAGAGTTATAGCAGAGAGATATCGTCACATAAAAAGCAAAACAACGCATCATTAATTAATAACATTGAAAAAGTTAAGAAGCAATTTCTGAAAATCGTCGTGTTGGCATCAGAGAGATAACAGAGGATCTCAAGATCTCTTATGGATCGACGCAACACATTTTGGTTAATGTGTTGTGTATATTTTCCACATACTTGTTATAGGCCTCGGCTGGAATGGCCTCCACCGCCTTCATCGAAGTTTGGTTTTTTATTGTTTCGGCTCATTTGTGAAGCTCCATTTAGGAGATTGTCAGAATTTCTACTGGATATTTGTGAATACTTATATTTGATTTTCCATATATTTGCTGATAATTCAATTGCTGACAATTCAACAATTCACCGTTGCATCACAGCCGGGTTTACGTAACCAGAACGGATCCGGCGTTTTATCCGGTCTCTCTAAAAACTCTACGGTATTTTTTAAATATTTTTCTGCCGCCACAACTATAAAAACACCAACAATGTGTTTAACGTCAAATTTTTGCTTAACTGTAAACCAAAAGTAATCGTCAAAAATTACAAATATTATCGCCATTTGTACTTAATTTATTTATAGGAAATCTACGTGCTTCATAAGCTGAAATAATTTATAATTCACAATTGAGCGTTCATTCAGTAATTTTTATTACTCACTTACATACTAGGCATTTGTAAAATAATACATACATAGTTTTTGTAATGTCACATATGCATACATACAAACATTTATTTTTTTCTAAGTTCTCCTATTCTCCACAAGTCATAGATATATATCTTTTCGTCACGTTTTTCAAATGTGACGTACCAAAGGCGATGCTGTATTTACATTTCAATGTATTAGCAACTGAGATATACTATATTTGATTTAGACATACATACATGTGTATTATATGTACATATCTATCTACCCATATATGTATATGATGAGTATATTAGGACTCTGTAATGTGCAAATCTTTATTTGTTTGTTTGAGAAGAAATAGATGTAAGCCCAGCTGCTTTTGAGCGTTGCATTAGGCGTGACCTCTGTGTATACAAGATAATTGCAGTATAAATTACCGTCGCACAAGATTTTAAAGAGAGAATTATGCACGTGCTCTAGAGAAGGCATAATGATGATTTAGAGAAATGTGCAACCTATAGAATAGAATATAGAAGTCACTTAAGTAT